AACGGCCATGAAAGCACAAAATGACATCCTGGTCAAGAGTATAATCCAAACGTAAACCCTGCTCAACTTGCTTGATAAAAAAACAATGAGCTATCCAGAAGTTGTTTATACTTAATCTCATCACCTAAGGTCGGTTTAATCTGTAACTCTACCAATAGACTTCCATCATCATATAAACTCAACCTGGTAAACAATGCACTCATATCAGACACCGCCTTACGGCTCAAGGCATCAACTACCGCATTGGCCTTACCAGGGTGATACTCTATTTCATAATCATAATCCTTCAAAAGCTCTAACCAACGAAGCTAGAGCATAACGACTCAGTCTAATAAACTAAATCTCATAGTCCATAACAGGTATATCACCCAGCACCAAGCTCTGAAACTCCTGATGTTATTCTTGTAAGTATCTCATTTAGATATAGCGACTTCAAAAACGTCCCTTAAAAAGGTCCCAAGTCAACTAATCTCTCGGGATACTCCTGGAAATTGAATTCCACCATCTCATCGCTTTTATCCTAAGCAAAGCTAGTGTTCCATTCAACTTCTACTCAAGCCTCAGCTCTATTTCGTCCATAATCCTCTTAGTGTCCTCCAACTAGTACTCAATATATTTCGGAGGTCCCCTAGTCATGCCCTTAAATAGAACCACTCCAACAGCCACTAGAGACGTAGATATATCCACAAAAAACATATTAGTAAGAGTTCTAACTGCCCTATGAAACATGCGATAAACAACTCTGTCTAGAGCACCTTGATCCATCTCAATATACTTGTCCTTAGTAATGAAATAGTTTCTCGCCGGTGTAGTTGGATCCTCACGGAAAGTGGACGGATGGACATGCAGAGTAGGAAGATTACTGGTTAAATTCGAATCCCCAAAATAAACAAAAGTCTGAGTCACTCGCCCACGACCACGGCCACGGTCTGTCCTACGACCTTGAGCACTCATCAAATCAAATCAAATTGGCTCTACAGAAAGAATTTAAACCTAAGTTAGACTGACATCAGAAATCTTAAATCCATTTTAAACTCATAAAACAATGTAACACATTGTTTGTAAATATTAGAAAATATATTTTTAAAAATACTGTATATGAACTCATCACAATCCGAGTGTGTAAAATCGAAAGCTCTGATACCACCAAATGTAACTCCCTAGATCTGGCCTAGACGGTAGACCCAAATCCAGGCGGTCACATGTCGTATACAAAGATCATTTTCAGATTCAAAATGCACTTAAAATCAATTTCAGTAAATAAAATACGAATAATGGAAAAATACGAAAATATATAATAGTATATATATACGTATATCACCAGAAGCCCATATGAAAGCATGGTCAGAACAAAATATCGGTATACATATATACATAGACGACAGTAAAACACGTGTCACCAAAATATAACAAAGATGGCGTAGAAAATATACAATGGTAAAAAAATGGGGAATGATTAAACATCTTGATGCCAAGTCTGCTAGCCTACTGTCGGGTAATATCTGAAAAGTTAAAAATTAAAGAATGAGCGAAAAGGCTCTGTGTGTTCCTTGCGGTGTATGAAACATACATATAAAATATTTTGATAAAATTATTTTATAACAACATGCTCATTAAAACATGAACACTACCCTAATTCAAACAGTAGAATGTGTAGGTTCCCCTTAACCATACACCTACATATATGCCCGGTAAGGACCTTATGCTAATAGCATAAGGGCATGTGGTAAGGTCTTAGCCTGTGCACAAAGCACAAGTTCCTGTGGTAAGGTCTTACAAGTTAGAGACTAGGCCTGAAATACTTCCTCCAATCATACCCCAAATGATAGTAAATATACATGAATTCAGTATGTTAATTTAATAAAACATCAAAACATGTCATTTTTTAGAATCATATACAAAAATACAATAACTAGAGATCATGCCAGAATATACGGTAAATCAGATATCGAAAGTCAAAGTATGCAGTAAAACATATTTCATGCAGTCAAAATATTTAAAATTTTAAAATAGTTCAGACAGATGATTTAAAACAGTACTGTAACATCAATAGGAACACACATATACCGATATGAGAAGTTTGCGATAGTAGCCTACTCTCGGGTCTGCTTTTCACGATCAATGAAAGAAATAGACCATACGAATCGAAAAAACCATCTCAAAATCCTAACATAAGATAAATAATAAACTTTAATTAAACAATTTACAAAAACCTAGGAGCCACTCTCGCAGAACGTGCAACTTGCTGATTTGTCAAACAAGAAGTACCAGATCTGATCGACCCTTGGTCAGGTGAATCATGGTACCTTCATGAAAATATGATCTCATATTAATTCCATAATTAGATCCCAAATAAATAAATATAAATGCTAAAAATACTAAGTATTTTCGGATTAACGGGCTCAATTTGAGGCTTTCGGGTCATAATTTTGCAAAACGAATCACAAAATCGGACTCAGGACATCAAAAACATTAAGAGGGAGGTTTTCGGAAAAAGTCAACTATGGTCAACGGTCAAACGTCACGATCAGTGGTGCGGTACGGTCAGCGGTGCGACACGACACAAGTCGGGTCAGTGCGGCTGGACCGGTTCGAGTTGGGCAAGTTCAGATTTAGGTTTGGGCTAACAGTGCACGGGTCGGGTCGGATCATCCAGACAGGCCAACAAGTCAAACGGTTCGGTCGGATCGGGTTAGCGGGTCAGTGGATCGATTTGACCCGCTTTTAGAAACCCACCTAGCGGTGGCCCTTCCTCACGAGCAGTGACAGCGAGTTCAGGCTTTTCTGAGGTCGAAAAAATATGAAAAAAATTATAAAAATTATTTAGAAGCATTTTAAGGCACTTACCAACCTTAGTTCACACTTGTGGATGACGAAGAGCCTAATTACACTTTTTCAAAAACTTGTTATCGTTCACAACTCATCACGCCGCCACCGACGAAAACAAAGAGACCACCGTTGGACTCGGGATGACACAAGGACTTCGTATGGACGGTGTCAACAACAGAGCTTTGGTCGAAAGTAAAACGACATTTAAATATAACTGGCTTATGTTTTCAAAAAAAAATGGAAGGTTGAAGAGAGAGAAGATTGGTTTTCCAGAAATGGAATTTTGCTGATTTTGGGATGGTTTTATACCTATCAAAAGAAAATGGTATAATTATGTCATAAGTCCTTGGCTTTTGAAACTTTATGATTTGAGTCTGAATTTAGATAAAATTTTATTTTGGTCTCCAAATTTTGCTAAAATTTTAATTTAGTCCTCATAATAAAAGTAAGAAAAATTTAACTCCGAAATTAGGGTGTAACACATCTGCATCATACATTTCCTTGAAAAGGTTGTCCTATGTATCCTTTGTTTCTTTCAGGGCAAAACTACATTTACGAGGCCTCTTGGAATACTCGATTTTTGTACAAATTTTATTAGGGAGAGGTGGTGGTTTTGGAATGTTAGAGTTATCGGATGCAAAGGGAATAGGAACTTTCAGCACAAGTAAAATATCAGCTGGATTTGCTTTCTCTACGCATACATTTGAAGATTTAAAAAAGGGCTCATTAGGTGAGGATAGCCATGCAGAATTAATAACTGGTAGAGCCATCAAATAAAACTTCTTCCCATAACATATATTCGCTAAAGTTACATATAAAACCAAAAAATGAGAATAGAACAGCCAAAAGTTTTACATTGCCACAAATAAAATAAGAAGAATGACAAATCATCAAAAAGAAATCTGCATAAAATTTTATCCAAACATGTATATTCACAAATGGATAACTTAATATTTAATATTTCTTTTATTAAAATTTTAATTACAAACAACTAAATATGTTGTATATTATTTACATTATAATATTATATATTATTATACATTAAATTTATGTTGGGTAAAAAATGTGATATAAATAAATTCATATATATTGTAAATTTAAAAAATAAATCTAATCGAATTAGGTGACCAAAACGAAATAAAAACTTAAGTTTAGTGATGATTTTGAAAACAAAAATAGTTGACTAACCAAAATAAAATTCACAAGAATAGTTGAGAGACTAAATATGTAATTTACCCATGTGTTTTTATCGGAGTTAACATATTGGGACAAATGTGGCAACTATTTAAACTTTAGGGGGACAAAACGTCCTAAAAATATTTTGAGGTGTAACTCGGAAGAAAGGATATAGTTTAGGGGAAAAAGTGTATTTAAGCCTAATTAAAATAATAATAAATATAGGGGTATTATAGTAATTATTTATAATTTATTTAAAAAAATTACACCATTACTCCTAGGTCGAGTTGAGTTGGAGTTTTTTCACCCTTCACTTTACTCGATTCGACCTCACTTCCATAAAACAAAATTGACTCGAACCTATTTTTTTAAAAGATCTAACCTCATTAAACCGATCAGATTAAAATCTGTCGATTTGAGATTAAATTACTTCTTAACAACATGTTGCGTTTGTCAATTGAATTCATCCAAAATGCCTAAATATTCTTTTAAGATTACATTTGCCTAATATTTTCCTTTAAATGCAATAAATCATTAATTTTTCTTATGGTGGTCGATAAATTAAAATCTTAAGAATGTCTTCTAAAAATTATAAAATTAGTGAAGACATTTAATTTTTTTAAATTTCGATCTATATCGTCCATCGTAAAATGGTCTTTGTCACGATATTATAATTTTTTAAAATACGATAATTGATTTATAAATTTACTAATAAAAGAGTGACATGGTGTAATTTACCAAAAAAAATAACAAATATTTTCTAACGGAAACTTTTAAATCCGTTTGAAATTTAACGACAACAATCTATTAATTGTTATTTGTTACAATCGATTAATTGAATGATTTGATTGCAATCTCTTCTTAAAATATGATGACCGATTTGTAAAATTACTAATAAGAGAGTGAGCTATGGTGAAATTTAACCAAAAAAATCAACAAATGATTCTTCATTAACTGAGTTTAAAAATTAAGCGATAAAATAGAAACACCAATGAAACTCATAAGCAGAAATCACATCCAAAACTCAGAGGAAGAACCCAAAAGGAAAAGCTTCGATTAGGGTTTATAAGCCCCACTAAAACACCTTTGTTTTCCCCCAAAACAATGCTCTAAACTCTATAATCATCAAAATCCTAGGGTTTTCCTCTCCCACTTTTTATTGGTAAGCCACCGTTGCTATGATTAGTTTCGGCTATTTTCATTATTCATTAATTTAGTTACTTCGATGCTGTTCTTCTGGTTTAATTATATAAAAGACTTACCTTCTTAATTATTGTTATTTATGTTTTATATTTGCTATTTGATTGCTGAGAAAGTCGATGGTAAAGGATCGGTAACGAAAAGTTTGAACTTAGCTTTTGTGGAGTTTTCGTATGGATTTGAATTGAAATTTGATTTCTCTTCCAAAACGTGGCCTTTTGAAGCTTTTTTATTGAATGCAGTTGAATTATGTAAGTTAGAAAGGAAAAAAAATAAAAGGATTTTGTTTCCTTAATTTGTGACTAAAGGAAGCAATTTGATTTTTGAGCGGATATATAATAATGCTATATTGTGTTTAATATCGAAAAGTTAAATGGAGTTTTGAACTGCAATTCGAGCATTTGTTTTAAGGGTTCATTTTATTCAACAATGCATTTAGGGCTTTCTGAAGTGCAATTTGTTGTCGTGTAGTGTTATTCTGCTTCCATGTTGGATCTATGTTCTTTTGTCTGTTGAGAACTGACTTTTACTGAGTTGTTAACTTTATAGGTTTATTTACTTTCTGATTTCAATGCGATTTTCCACAGGTAATTTCGAGACTTGAGTTGTAGGTCATACCAGTGCTACCGACTTTTGTTCTAAAACTGTTTGGTTAAGTAATACTATTTTTTAGATGTATGCTCAAGAGAATCAAAATCCTCAGCCTGGGCAGGGTACTCAAAAACCCATGTCTTCTCCTTATCAACAGCACCTGCCGGGTCCACCTCCTCTACCTCAATTCCAGCTAGGCCCTTCAAGCTTTACATATCAACAGCATGGTCCTGCTGCACCTCATCAAATTCCACCTGGTGGTAGGTTGCCAAATACAGGTCAATCTTATCTATACCCACCTTTGCAGGTTCACGCAGGTGCGTCATTGCCTCCTCTGTATCTGAGTACTCTACAGAACTCACAACATAATTCACAGTTAGGTACCCAGAATGCACTTAATATGCCACAGCCAGTGCTTCCTCCTATTAGTACATCTCACCCAGAAGTTTCACAGACCCTGCCACCTCCCCCGCCACCTCCTAGAAATTTACCTCCTCCTCCACCTCCTAGAGCATTACCTCCTCCACGACCTCTTAGAGCATTACCTCCTCCACCACCTCCTCGAACATTACCTCCTCCACCACCTCCTCCACCACCTCCTCCTCAATCTCAAGGGCAAGTATTTTATAGAGCACCAATGAATCCACCTATAAAATGGTCGGGACTTCAGCAGTTGTCATCACATCCACCTTTTCCTGCTACAACGAGTTTCTTCACTTCAGCTCCACTTGGAAGCTTCATACACTCAACAAGCACAAATCATCATACTGCTCCACTTCCACCCCCACCCCCCACCCCCACTGCCACCTCTACCCTCCTCTCCACTGCCTATCCAACCATCTCCTCCACCTTCCACCTCTGTTTCCATTTCATCTTCTAAGCCTGCCCAGAATGATTCCAGCTTGCCCCGTAATCTGGATAATGATGGGTCTAAGTTAAGTACTTCAGGTTCCATGGACGAAGCAGTGACTCCAAATCAGGTCAACCCTGATTTAATTGCAGATGATGACTCTCTGAATAAGGTTGGGGGAAATGCCTGCAATGTGAGTTTTATGGTTGGAGATAAGCTATCATTACAAGAAGGTTTGAACGTGGATGTATCTTCCCCTCATCGTAAGCCAACAGATAAAAATGTCGTTGAAAGGATTAAAGCTTTATGCGCGTGCATTGCTAAGAATGGTCCTGATTATGAGGATGTGGTTCGTAAAAATGAACATAGCAATCCAGAGTATGCATTTCTGTATGTTGATGAGCCCGGAAGTGAGGATGCTATAGCGCATGACTTTTTCCAGTGGATGAAAAAGAAAAGTATTTTGACCTGTAAAGTAGATGAACAGAGAGACGATTCATCTTTGAGGCCTTCAGAAAACGTGTCTCCGGAGCAACCCTGTCCTTCGGTGATTGCAGCTGTATCTCATTTGCCTGGTGATTCTGACATGGAGATGGAAGGTTGGCATTGTTACTATGATTGTTCTTCCTAATGTATACAATCTCTTTATGGTTTTTAAAGTTAAATCTTTTAAGTTTATATAAAAATTGTCCATTCACATGTTACGAGCTCCAAAAAGAAACAGTACTGATCTTTTTGGGATAGACTTTCTTTTGAACTTATTAATGGTCATCGTAAACACAACAGAGAAGAAATTGTATTTCATTCCGCATATCACTTTATCTTATGAACTGTATTCTTAAGTGTATTTTCTAAGCATCTGTTTACCGTTGTATGCTGTTCTTTTTTTTTTATGTTTGTTTATATATTCTGGTTGGTGTTTTCAAGATGATATCACCCAAATTGATGAAGACCAGGGAATGAATAACTCATCCAAAGGCCTGAACAGTCACTGTGATATCTACAACAGCATGATTAATGTTGAAGAGCAGTACTGTCACCCAGTGCAAATATCAACAGATGGCAATGCAATCAAGGACATTTTATCAGAAAAAGAATCAGCTGCTGGTAGTTCAAGATTGGTTAAAGAAGGTCAATTTAATATATATTTGTCGTATTAATCTTTTTTATGTTCTCTTGTTTCTTGCTTTTTCAATATATATAGCTGATGGCTCCTGAATGCAGTTATTACCTGATTCTGTAATTTCCCAGAATGTTCATTGAGATGTCTTTATGTCTTGTAATTTTCTCTATCTATTGTATATTTCGTGGTTTTAAGAGCTTTTTCCCTGTGCATATTCAGATCCTAAAGGTATAAATGCTAACCCAATGGCATTTGGTGCATCTGTTTCCAAAATTAATTCAATCAAGTCAACTGTACCTTCTAAACAACCTCTTGTCACAAGTTTGGATAAATCAAATACTTCTGTTCAACTTGCAGAAAGTGGCTGTCCATTCAGACTTATACAAGACTATGCTTCTGATGACAACTTAGAAAATGTTGAGGTTGGTTCTAGTGTTGATAGCGATAAATTACGAAAGGAATCTAGTCTAGAGGAAGAAAATATGACTCTTGGTTCTCAACATAAACTGGACAAGTTTGGGCGTTTGATCCGGGATGGTGCTAGTGCTAGTGACTCAGATGATTCTTGCGATATTGGGAAGTATAGAAGGGGAAGACCTCAGAGCAGAAATCAGAGCCATTCATCTCTAGATAAAAGGAGAAGAAGTCCAAGGAAGAGAAGGAAGAAGCGCAGCCTATCTCGCAGGTTGTTGGTTTGTGGTTTTGAGTTTGTCTTATTTTTTAATCGATCTTTAAGAAATTTGACTTCTAAAGAATGTTGTATTTCTTACGTTGTAGTTCTTGTTTATGATCTGTGGAAAATTTTAAATTTGTTTCTTGTTGTTTTAGTTGGTCTTCCAGAAACCGGAGAAGCAGGAGCAGGTCTCCCAGAAACCGTAGAAGCAGGAGCAGGTCTCCCAGAAACCGGAGAAGCAGGAGCAGGTCTCCCAGAAACCGAAGAAGCCGGAGCAGGTCTCCCAGAAGCCGGAGAAGCAAGAGCATGTCTCCCAGAAACCGGAGAAGCAGGAGCATGTCTCCCAGAAATGGGAGAAGCAGGAGCAGATCTCCCAGAAATCGGAGAAGCAGGAGTAGATCTCCTAGTTTTCAGCACACAGATGAATTCTGTGGTGAAAAGAAGAGACGAGTGAAGGGACAGATGCCATTATGTTTTGACTTCCGTCGAGGGAAGTGTTACCGTGGAGTTTCTTGTCGTTATTTGCACCACGATCCTGGAAAGAGTTATGAATCAAGGTGGCAAAAGAGCAAACAACATCTGGAGTTGCCTCATACTTCTAGGACTAATAATGCCTGTGAAGAGATCAAGCAGAGCTCTGAGAAAGGAGAAGATTCTGGTGATGGAGTTGTTCATTATCAAGATATTCGGTCCAATGAGTATCACATGGTTAAATCTGATAGATCTAGAGACACCCCGACCTCTTTATTTGAAACAAACTTGTTAGAAAAGCAGGAAGGGCCTAATGCTGCCAGTTATGAGAATTGTCTAGAAGCAGCTGCAGAATCTCAACACCTCTCAACTATGGATTGCTCATCAGTTGGCAAGACGGATACACTGAAGTCTTGTGCTAATGCTTCTCAGCAAGTACCTGCTTCTTCGTTCAGCCCTTTAGATCCAGTGTGTCAAAATGCTAATTGCCAACCTCAACAATCAGATAACTCATCCATGTCTGATTCTTTACCGTGTAAAACATCTAAATCGTCGGTAGATATGCTTCCAGACAGTAATGTTCATCCACATTCAACGGAGTTACATAACCGTCCTTGCCATATATCCTCCCCTTCTGTCCTATGCTCTTATGGTAAAGATAATGCATGTGTGAAAGAGCAGCAAACTTCATCTTCTATGCTTCAATCTTCCAGGGAAAGCTTTCCTTCTTACATTTTACCTAGCCAAGAGTCTTACTTTGCTCTACAGCCAAATTCTTCTTTGACTTCCTTACCTCCACCTCCACCTCCACCTCCACCTCCACCTCCACCACCATCAGTGGATTCAACTGTAACTCCCTGTGTTTCTTCACATTTTCGGCAGAGTTACCTTCCTCTGAGGAATGATTTTGGTTCCCAGATTCTCCAAAGACCTTACCTTACTAAATTGCCTGCATGTTCTCAATCTGATGGGTTTCAACAGCGAGCTTATCTTCCAATTCAGGATGTTAATCAACCTATCTTGCAGGCTTCTTTACCTGTGTATAACCTGCCCGGAGCTCCTAGTATGTCAAGAGATGATGGTTTAACACAACCTCCAACACAGAATGTTATTACTTCAAATTCCTTTTCCCAGAGCAATATTCATCCTCATGCTCTACCCTGTTCAGAACAGTTGCTGGGAAACAAAATGCAACCATTTTCCTCTGAGATTGTGCCACCAGGTGGACTTTCTTACTCATTTTCATATATTAATCCCTATGCACAGCAGCAACCACCACACAGTTCACACCACTCTACAATTGATGGTATTTGTAATCTTGGTGGAAAGATGAATTCTTCATTAAAAGTTCCACCAAATATTGAGGACATCCCACCCCACAGAGTTGACATTGGAGGATCAAGTAGATCAATTCCTAATCCAAATGCATCGGCTCTTCTTCAGCCTATGAATACCAATTATGATTCTGATGTTCTCTGGAAAGAAAAAGATATAGCCTACAATAGAATTCCTTTCAGTTTGGCTAATGATTCAGTTCATGAGAGAGGTATTGTATCTCAACAAGCAACATTGTCACCCTATTCTTCCAGGGCCTTTGGGCAGAATTTTCATAGAACAGGTGGTGACCAATATGATCCACTCATTGATAGCATTGAACCATCTTCAAGTTTATTGAGAAAAAACAATTGTATTCAAAAGTTGGAAGTAACAGGTGACTCTGACATTGTGTTGGGGCTTACTGGTTCTGACAAGCCACTGAATGTGGGGAAAAACAATCAGAGGAAAGATGCTGCAGCTGCTGCTTCTGTGGTAGCTGCAGGGAAGGAGGAATTTGGAGAGACTGCTGATGGTGAAGTTGGGTCTGTTGAGAGTGGAAGCCCTAGTAATCCAGTTGAAGCTAACATGGCTACTAGTGAGGTTGAGATTGACCAGATAAAGTCTCCGGGGAAGAGCAAGAAGAGCACAAATTCCAGATCGATGAAGCATTTCAAGGTTGCCCTTGCACGTTTTGTGAAGGAGCTTTTAAAGCCATCATGGAAACAGGGTAATATGAGCAATGAGACATTCAAGACTATTGTGAAGAAGACTGTTGATAAAGTATCAGGAGCTATGAAGAGCCACCATGTGCCCAAATCTCGTGAAAAGATCGATCGTTACATCAAATCATCTCAGCAGAAATTGACGAAACTTGTGATGGTAAATTCTCTTTTTGTTCCCTCCTTGCAGTAATTAGCATAACAGCGGCATCAATTTACAGGATATTGTTCTGCCATTTTGTTTGTGTTTATTATGTTTCATTTTTGTTGGATTATTGTACTTTCTGTTCTGAGAACCCATGCTTATAATCAACCACAATCTTCCTTATAGAATAAGTATTTTGCAATAGAGAGCACATAGTAGTGTTTTATGAAATCTAGCCTTCTAGTGAGAAAAGATTGCCGTTAGGATTGGCTAAAAGTGTAGCCTAGGCCCTACAGTAAAAGATGTACCGATTCCCTTTTTTTTGTGCCAGTTCTGAGCAGAATCAGTGCATTGGGTTCAGCCGAATTTTAGCTATATTAGTTACAGTTTATTCTATAGTTTTTGGTTCAAGAAATCAAGTTTGGGCTTTCCTTTCATGAAGTTCCACACAGCTTAAACTTTTGGTTGAAACATTTATTCGTAGACTGCCTTACATTTTCAGTTTGGTATCATTATTTCCTCATCATTGCAGGGTTATGTTGATAAGTATGTTTATGTGTAAGATGGCATCGATGTTGATCCAAAACACTTTCATCAACAGGTGAGTTTTCTTTCTTCCGTACCTTGATCTTGACTACTATCCCCTGCCATTGAAGCTTTTGCGAGTTAGTAATTCATTTTGTTGCAGTGGGTCGAGAAAAAGACAAGAAATTTTTGAGTTGGTGGTGCTAAAAACTCGGTGTGTATAGTTTTGTAATGTTTGGATAATTTTATGAAGAAAAAAAAAGAGGTGAAAATGACGAGATACGTTACGTTACGTTACTCGAATTCAGATGCGAGTCCGACACACATGCTTAAAAGAATTGAGTAAAAAAAATAATGTTAGCTGCCTGCATATCTTCAATATTTTTTTCATTGCTGGAACTTTGATAGAATTCATTAGCCAATTGTGGTGTTCATTAACTTTGCATTTAAAAGGATAAATTATTAATGTCAAAGCGATTAATAATTTATTTAAAAGATGGGTAAATTAAACATTTATTACCTAGACTATTAGTTTTGCTCTGTTTTAGTATTTAAATTTTCAATTTTTTCAAAATCATACTTAAAATTTATATTTTATTTCATTTTAGTTCTCATCCATTAAAAACTTAACGCATTTAGTACATATACTATCAATTTTGGTATGTTTTAGTTTTTAAACTTTTAATATTTTTTCCAAATATAATATAACAAAACTTAAGCTATGTATAGTTAAAAAAAAATGAAAGTTTGGGTATTAAAACAGATCAAAATTGATTGTTTGGTTACTAAATATATAAATTTTCCTAAAAAATTTGGAAACAAAATTGACTAAAATTTATATCAAATTAATTAATTTATTAATAATTAATTATATTTAATTAATTAATTTAAATTATAAATTCAGTGATTTAAAGGATTGTTGAACACTTATTGTCAAATTGTTGTGTGTCCTTGAAATTACAAATTAATTATGAAAACAATTAGAAAATCACTGTTCGGTGTGATACTAAAGAAGAAACGTTTATGCACGTCCTCCGAGAATGCACAACAGCTCGCATGGTCTGGTAGACCCCGGTTCCTGGCTCCTCCTTGGTAGCCTTTGTAACACCCCAATTAAATCTCAATTTCAAAAACCCTAGGATTTGGGGATTTTCCTAAATCACTAAATTAATTTCGGTGACTAATTTGAAAATAACAAAACTTTTGTTGTTATTTTGTGAACCCTAATTAATTTAAGGACCCACCTTGTTAATTACCCAATTTTATTTTATGTTGGACTCTTCCCGATCTCCTATTTCAGCCCCTCTTCCAAATCTTTTCTTTTTGGAAAACCTAGCAGCAACCATCCCTCCCACATCGCCGCGTCACCGTTTGTCTCCGAGGTAAGGTCATTGGCCATCGTTTAAGACCCCCATCGCAACCCTGTCCACTAACGTCGTCGTTGAGCGACGTTGGGTTGCGAAACCCGTGTGTTTTGCTCGCTAAATCTTCACTGTCGTCGCCTGGTTTTGGCCGTTGGTGGCCACTGCGAGTTTGAGACCTCGTCGGAGAAGGCCTTAATGGCCTGGGTTTAGGGGTGGTTATAACCGACCAAATCAAATGTATTAGTTCGGTTAATTTAGTCTACGAACGATTAATATTTTTTTAATATTCAATTAACGATTAATTTGATTTGAAATCGATTAATTAACTAAATTAACTAAAATTATTAAATATTATATATAATTTTATTAAATACATTCTCTTAAAAAATATTAAATATATATGTTAAGCTCAAACCTATTAAGAATTAAGATCCAATTATTTTTTAACCACACCCGACTCATTAAATTATCAATAGATAATTAAATTTTAACCCAAATAAAAAATACTTCTATTATATTCAAATTATCTAATTAAAGAATATATTAAAAAATTTCGTTTAGTTCGGTTAACCGATCGAAATAATCGAATTTTATTCGGTTCAATTAATATTTTCAAAAAAAATTCGTTCCGTTAACGATTAAAGAAAAAAAGTTCAGTTAATTCAGTTAATGAGAATTTCGTTATGTCGATGACCGAATTAACCATTTGAACACCCCTACCTGAGTTTATGGCTAAACGGTCTCAGTTGGTCGTGGAAGCTCCTGTCGGCCCTGGTATCATTGCTATAGTTATATTAACGTTTCTGTATGTCATCTTTGGTCACGGCAAGGCCGACCATGATGGCAGTCGGGCGACGTCCGATTTTTCTAAACTGGCAACATCCATATTCGAACCAAAACTCCACTGTCAATTCTCCGATTCAAACCGAAAAAATGTTTATTGCCATCGTAAAATTATTCCTAAATTCTGAAATTTAGTATCGGAATATGAAATCAAACATCGTGATTTTTGCAGGAAATTTTGAATCGGGAGCTGACTTACCACCTCCACTGTTATCCATGAACTTCAAACCTATCCATATAACTCGTGTTGAACGTGAGTGATAGTTGTTATTTTTAGTCGTCTAGATGTGTAGGTTATTTAGATTATTTACTTATTTATTTAATTATTTCCGTATGTTCTGATTCGGGTTAATCCACTGTCCGGGCTGATCGTGGAAAAGATTATTATTGTCTTTAACTATTTGTCGAGGTGTGTCTATCTATTCGGTGTTACATTATTTTATTTGGTTGATTGAAAATTGATTGAAAGCATGATTGATTGTGATAAATATAATTTGAAAATGTCATGTGGTTGTATTGAATTATTGGAATCAAAATATGTGCTTAGGAATATTTGTTTATATAATATCTTTATTCAGATCGTAACTCAGGTATGAATGTCATTTTGCATGTCATATTAGGTTGGATTTTTATAGAAAAAGTTCAGTGCATTCACTTGATGGACTTTCGAATTCTGTGACCTCTTTCTTTGTGGCAGACCACACTTCATATGGTGTGATAGTAGTTAGTGTGGTTTTAGAGAACTCGCTCTTCGAATGTGTGACAGGTGTATGGGAGCATGATCATCGGCATAATATTTAAAATTATGCATATCATTGTTGGATTTGAATTATGAATTTTATTGGTTGATTCGAACTATGTCTTGAATTGTGAATTTCTGCATTTTAGAGACACACTAAGTTTAATAGCTTACACTCTCCTCGTAATTCTTTCAGATACTTGGAGGTTTACAATGTCTTTTTTAGATCTTATTTATGGTATGGACATTATTATCCAGATTTTCTATTTATGGTTCCACTAGTATTTTTATTTGTGAATTATTAATATTTATATTTATTTATTTGTCATGGACATTGGACTTTTGGGATTTTATTTTGACCATTGGATTTCAAAATTTGGTTGATACGCGGTTGTTTTCGGTTTGATTGATTAGTTGAATTAAATTGTTTTCCTTGATCTTTGAAACCAATAACACGAGGGATAAATTCGATGTTTTATTAAATTATTTTTGGGCTAATTTTGGGTTAAAACTTTCTTCTTCACTCCTTTTGTTGACTGGCTTAAACAGAACTTCTCCCACTGTTCGAGTTTAGGCAGACTTGAGTATCGCTGGAGACATATATTTGGGATCATTATTTTGAGGCTCTCAAAGTAGCGAAACTGCTTTGTCTTACATGGCCAAGTTTGATCTTCACATGAAATAATTCGTTCGACACTCTCGTAGGCTAAGGTAATTCAAAACCACTCGTGCTTTTCTCCTTGCAGGGATATCCATAGGCGAATACATCAGCAATTGTGTCCTCCTGATATCAGTGTGCAAGAAATCAATACTGATGGTGTCCAATATTGAAACTATGGCAGCTGCTGGGGGAGAAGTCCTTTGCAACAATGAAGGGAGATAGAAGATTAGTTTTTTTTTTTTCTGAAATATTGGTCGATGGTCAATCCTTCGTGCCAAGTTTTGGGCAATTATGGATAGTCTCACCCTGCAAAATCATATTGTTAGCACTGACATGACAAATTAAAAATATAATCAGCATGTGAACAACCAAAACTGTGTTGTGGTGAAAACCACTACTTCATAAACAAATTCACCCCGACGTGTGTAATCGCTGCGATAGGCGGATCTTCTCCCGAGGTTAAAACTGTCATTTCGAGAACTCGTACACCCGAAATCAGAGAGGACTGTTGATGGTACTGCTCTTCTAATAGCAGCAGAAAAAAAGAAGAAGCATAGAAAGCTTTCGATTGATAGGATTTGTGATTGTTGAGTAATTTGAGAAGCTAACATTGCTTCTCTATTTATAGGCTAAGTTCAGGGACAAAAACATCCAAGTGAAAATCATATATAAATATAATTTAATTTCTGAATTTAATCTCTGTTGAAACTACTGTCATAAACAAATGAACTTGACCCCAAAGCAGTCCAAATTTATGACTTAATTTTCAGCCATTTGTAACTCATGTAATTAATCTTGTAACCGACACAATAAACAACTCATTATTTACTTTGAACAGAGCTTGAATATTGTCCAGATACATTCAACGTTCATAGATAGAATTTCAGAAACTAACCATTATGATTTTAATTTTACAGAAATCATAAATCAAACGACAGTTAATTAATCAGTTGTTACCCTCTAAAATTTTGAATCGAACAGATCGTTGTGCATCGTTTAAATATAAGATTAAACTTCTTTCACGTTCTTTATTTTCTCAGAAAATTTCTCCAAAAAAGATAGTATTTGTGCGGATGTGTACAAAACACGTATTTACACGAGCCACGACCTTGACCTTGAGCACGAGGAGAGCCGAGCCGAGACAGCGGCGACACACGAGATGGTCCTTTGTTCTCTATCACTCAATAAGGGAGGGAAGAATGAATGTTGAAAATATTTTGATGTTTAGATATAACAAATTAAGGTAAATAAATTTTAAGATTTTACAAAAGATTTTCTAAGTATATTCGATATAATTATTCAAATATTAAAATATTACTCCAAGTCTTTCAAAGTAAAATTTCAATCCTTACTAAAGTGTAAAGTTATATTTTTATACTTAAAATATTTTTGAAACAATTTTCACAAAGAATTTCGAACAAAAAACGAGCCTAATATCATTTTTTCAGGTAAGTGTACCGATGCATGAATCCATGCATCGATGCACCCTTATTTTAATTGAACAGCGAATGGCTTTTGTGCACCGATGCACATATCATGCATCGATGCACTCCATATATATTAAAACATCGAATTGATTTTATGCACCGATGCACAAGCCATGCATCGATGCACCCAGGCTTTTTCAAAACATCGAAGTATATTTATGCATCGATGCACTATCAGTGTACCGATGCACTAAGGGTCCAACGGTCAAAATATTTGAATTTTACACATAGTGTACCGATGCACTAGCCTTATGCATCAATGCACC